AGCAATATACAGATTCTGTGCAGACTTCCACTGTAATCTTCACAGAAGTAGAAAAAAAATCTTAATATTGAACCACAAAAGTCCTCTAATAGTCAAGGAGATAATGAGTGAGAATTATGAAGCTGGAGGTATCACACTATCTCAAATAGCGGTATAGACAATAGAATATGTATTAATATTTACTGATATGTATTGTATATTATAAAATATGTAAATGATTTCATTATAGTTATATAATACATATATTAATTTACATATATTATATAATGATATAATACATATATTAAAATGTATGGCAAAACCATCATAATCAGAAGAGCATGATACTGACAGAAAAACTGATAGTGCAGAGAGCCTAGGAATAAACATACAAATTTACAATTGATTTATTTTTGACAAAGATACCAAGAACATAAAATGGAGAAAAGGTGGTCTTCAATAAATCGTTTTAGGGGTGTAGAAGGTTAAGTCTCTGCCTGCAGAGTGTCTGCATCCCATATGGGCGCCAGTTGGAGTCCTGGCTGTTCCTCTTCTGTGGAGCAGATATGCCTGGGAAGGCAGAGGAGGGTGGCCCAAGTGCTTGGGCCCCTGCACCTACATAGGAGACCTGGAAGAAGCTCCTGGCTTTAGCCTGGTCCAACCCTGGCTGTTGTAGCCGTTTGGGGAGTGAACCAACAGATGGAAGATATCTCTCTCCCTCCCTCCCTGCCTCCCTCCCTCCCTCGCTCCCCCTTTCCTCCCTTCCCCCTCCTCTCCTCTCCCCTCTTTCCCTATCCTGTTTCCCCCTCCATCTCCCCCTTCCCCCTCCCCCTCCCTCCCCCTTTTCCTCTCTTTCCCTCTCTTTCTCCCCTCTCCCTTCTCTCTCCTCTCCCTTCTCTCTCCTCTCTCTCTGCCTTTCAAATAAATAAATCTTTAAAAAAGTCATTTTGGGAATATTGGATATCTAAAGAGAGAAGAATGAAATTGGACCCTATATACAAAAATCAACTCAAAGTGGGTTAGGACTTTAACATAAGATCTGAAACTGCAAAACCTCAAGAAAAGCCCATGACATTGGTCTAGACAGTGATTTCTTCCAAGTGTCTCCAAAAGCACAGGCAACAGAACCAAAAATTAACAAGTGGTATTGTCTCAAACCGAAGATTCTGCACAGCCAACAGTAGGGTGAAGAGACAATCCACAGATTGGGAGAAGTCACTTTCCAAGCATGAATCTGCTAACAAACTAATATCTAAAATGTAGAAGGAGCCCTAAACAATTTAATAGCAAGAAAGCAACCCAGTCAAAAGTAGGCAAAGGACTCAGACATTTCTCAAAAGAAGACATACAGATAGCTAATAGATTCATGAAAAAGTCAACATAATTAGTCATCATGGAAATAGAAAGTAAAACCATAGTAAGACACCACCTCACACCTGTTAACATGGCTCCTATCAAAAACATTAAGGAAGCAAGTGTTGATGAGGGTGTGGAAAGGAGGGGACTCTTGCTCACCATTAGAATGTAGAATGTAGATTAACACAGCCCTTATAGGAAACAATATGGAGATGTGACGGAAAACTACAAATAGAATTCTAAGAGCCAGCACTATGGCGTAGTGGGTAAGCCACTGCCTGCAGTGCCAGCATCCCATATGGGTGCTGGTTCGAGTCCTGGCTGCTCCACTTCTGATCCAGTGCTCTGCTGTGGCCTGGGATAGCAGTAGAAGATGCCCCAAGTCGTTGGGCCTCTGAACCCACATGGGAGACCCGGAAGAAGCTCCTGGCCTCGGATCAGTGCAGTTCTGGCCGTTGCGGCCATCTGGGGAGTAAACCAACGGAAGGAAGACCTCTCTCTGCCTCTGCCTCTCTCTAACTCTGCCTTTCAAGTAAATGAATAAATCTTTGAAAAAAATTTTTTTAAGATTTTTTATTTATTTATTTGACAGGTAGAGTTACAGAGAGAGAGAGAAAGGTCTTCCTTCAGTTGGTTCACCCCCCAAATGGCCGCTACGGTCGGCACCAGCGCTGATCTGAAGCCAGGAGCCAGGTGCTTCCTCCTGGTCTCCCATGCAGGTACAGGGACCCAAGCACTTGGGCCATCCTCCTCTGCCCTCCCGGGCTACAGCAGAGAGCTGGACTAGAAGAGAAAGCGACCAGGACTAGAACCCAGTGCTCATGAGATGCTAGTGCCGCAGGTGGAGGATTAGCCAAGTGAGCCATGGTGCCAGGCCTGAAAAAATTTTTTAAAGGTTTATTTATTTGAAAGTCAGAGTTACACAGAGACAGGAGAGGCAGAGAGGTGTCTTCCGTCTGGTGGTTCACTCCCCAGATGGCCACAATGGCCGGAGCTGCGCCGATTCAAAGCCAGGAGCTAGGAGCTTCTTCTGGGTCTCCCACGTGGGTTCAGGGGCCCAAGGACTTGGGGCATCTTCTACTGCTATCCCAGGCCATAGCAGAGAGCTGGATTGGAAGAATAGCAGCCGTGACTAGAACCGGCGCACATGTGGGATGCCGGCGCTTCAGACCAGGGCGTTAACCCGCTGCACCACAGCATCGGCCCTTGAAAAAAAAATTCTAAAAACCTAAAAATAGAATTACAGGATCCAGCAGACCCACTATGGAGTACCATCCAAAGGCAGAGGTGTGTATGAGGTCTTTTGATCATGGCAGTGCTATTCACAGTGACCAAGCACCCATTGCCAGACCAGTGGATAAAGAAAATGTGGTATAGATACACAGTGGGACACTACTGCTTTTTCAGATTCTGTCACTTGAGACAGATGGCCACAATGGCCTGAGCTGTGCCGATCTGAAGCCAGGAGCCAGGAGTTACCTCTGGGTCTCCCACGATTGTGCAAGGGTCCAAGGACCTGGGCCATCTTCTACTGCTTGCCCAGGTCATAGCAGAGAGCTGGATCAGAAGTGGAGCAGCCAGGAAGCAAACCAGTGCCCATATGGGATGCCAGCACTGCAGGCAGTGGCCTTTCCCGAGTTGTCTTATTCTACCAAAGTCCTGTTCATAAAGGAAACAACAAGCCACAGACTGGTGGAAAGTGTTCACAATATGTTTCTGAGAAAGCACTTGCATCAGGAATGTATCAGGAACTCCTGTAAATCCATAATGAAAAGATGTAGAAAAAAGACAGCCCACCTTTTAAAAATGGGCCAAAGACTTGAGCAGACGCTTCACAAAATAAAGCATATCAATAACCATTAAACTTGTCAAACCTCTTTAAATACCAGAGAAAATAAATCTAAACCCTCAGACGCTAGTTTACATCCCCTAGAAAGGCTAAGGTGGAAAAAATCTTGACAACTACTAAATGTGGGTGAGGATGTGTAGCAAACAGAATTCTCAGATGCAGAGAGAAAGTACCAGGAGACTGTGGGGAACTTGGACAGCTTCTTAATGGAGTTCGATAAACACCTACACTATGACCCAACAAAGCAAGCCCTAGGTATTTTCCTAAAGAAAGGATAAATCTGTTCATCAATAATTCTGTCTTCTATCATCTACCAATCTCCATCAAAATACTTAAGTATAAAATCCTTAGAGCAGTTCTATTTAGAATACTCCAAAACTGGGAACATTTCAGATGCCCAAGTGAATGGAGTAAGGATTTATGGTTTATCCATCCAGTGGAAGGCTACCCACCAATTAGAAAAATAGAATGACTGCTGGTGCTGGTACATGCAGTTAGGTAAATCCCAAAACCATTATGCTGATGGAAGAAAGTGAGTAACACGAGTACTGTATGTGGTTACATTTATATGAAGTTCAAGAACAGGTGAAATTAATACATGTTGAGCCATACGAGAGTGCATACATATGAATGGGTGGATTGACCAGAAGGGGGTGCAAGTGATATTGATGTAATAAATCTTATTCTAGTGTATACATTTACCCAAACTCAAATGTACACTTAGGAAATGTACATTTCAGGCTAAGTAAACTTTACTCCATAAAATAATCCTAACAAAAGTTATGTGGCCTAATCCCCTGGTTTAAATAGTCAGTAGGCTGGTTTGATCTCATTAAACAGTATTTTAAACATGTTTTACTCTGTGCAGAAAAACAATAATGTGCGTATTAGCCTGTTCAGGCTACTGCAACAAAATACCATGGCCTGTGTGGCTTAAATGACAGACATTGAATTGTCCCAGCTCTAGAGACTGGACGTGGGAGATCAGGGCACCAGCATGGTCAGGTTCTGGTCAGGGCCCTCTCCTGACCTGCGCTGGCTGCCTTTTACCTGTGTCCTCAAAGCACACAGAGGGACCAGCTATCTGGTATGTCTTCTCACATGGCCTCTACTCCAACCATGAGCCCCTCCCCTGAGCTATCTAACCCAGTCACCTCCCATGGGTCTCCTCTCCAAATACCCCCATGTTAGTGGTGAGACCATCAATACATGGATGGGGGCTACATTTCCAGTCCATAGTAATATGCATTCCGGAAAATTTGGAAAATGTACATAAGTAGAAAGGAAAACAAGGCATGATTACCTTACCCAAATAGAATCTCTGTTAGCATTTTTATTTCCAGGTTTCTGTTATTTCCACTTTTAACTTGGTGTAGTCATTCCACGCCTACAATTTTGTACCAAGATTTTTTTAAACATTGCAACATGAACTTTGTTGTGTCTCAATTATCCTTATTTAATAGTCACAAAAGTGTCTTTAAGTGACTCTGCTATAGTTTATTTTCTGATTATCCTGTGGTTGAATATTGAGATGCTGTCCAATATTTGGTGAGTGTAACTAGTGCTGTGATAAACACATTGGTGCATGAGGCTTCTTTTCCTGTAACTTAGATGCTTTCCTTGGACGAGAATTCCAGAAAATAGAAATTGTGGGTTGACAGGGTTTGCTTTTCATACATGTGGCCAAATTCCTTTCCCAGAAGATGTCCCAATTTACATGCAGTCCGCCCCAGGGGCAGGAAGGGGCCATATCTGTTTGCTCTCCCAGGGGACCAGGTCAGTTCCACTAATGTGTTTGTTGGCTTGTCTCCAACAGGTAAGCAGAGGCCGCTGAAGCAGGCTCCTGGTTATGCAAAGTTCCCCCGGCTCTGCAGGCCCAAAGTCTATCCACTCTCTCCACCTGACGGCCTGTGTTCCGGCTCTCACCGACCCTCGACGGTGTGGGGACAACCCATCTTCACCCACCCGCAGCCATGAACTTCCTCCGGCGGCGTCTCTCAGACAGCAGCTTTGTGGCCAACCTGCCCAATGGCTACATGGCGGACCTTCAACGCCCAGATAGCTCCACCAGCTCCCCGGCCTCCCCAGCCATGGAGAGGAGGCACCCCCAGCCCCTGGCAGCCTCCTTCTCCTCACCAGGATCCAGCCTTTTTAGCTCCTTCTCCAGTGCTGTGAAGCAGACCCCTCAGACCCCGGTGGGCGTGGTGGAGCCTCCGGTTCCCTCCACACCGGTTGTTCAAAGACCCAGGATCTTGCTGGTGATTGACGACACCCACACAGACTGGTAAGCCCGGCCCTGCAGCTGCCACGGCCCCCTTCCCAGGCATGGCTGAGATGCCAGTTATCTCCTCCCTGGGGAGGGGGAGACGGGGGATGAGCTGCCAGCAGCTCAGGTGGCGTCAACCCGGCTGGAGGAAAGGAGATGGATCCTTACCAAATGCCACCTGTGTGCCAGGCCCCACGCCACCTCTGCCATGCTACATTCCCTCTTTTCGTTAAGACTTATTTTATTTATTTGAAAAGCAGAGTGACAGAGAGAGGGAGCTTCCACCTGCTGGTTCACTTCTCACATGGCCATAACAATCAGGGCTGGGCCAACTCTGTCCACGTCTCCTACACAGGTGGCAGGGGCCCAGGTCCTTGGGCCACCATCTGCAGCTTTCCCAGGTGCGTTAGTGGGGAGCTGCTGCAGAAGCAGAGCCGCCAGAACTTGATGGGATGCTGGCTTGGCAGGCAGTGGCTGAACCCGCTGTGCCAGCCCCTGTATTCTCTTCCAAGGGCTGTACATATACAGGTCCATGGTCCTCGCCTACAAATGTAAACTCCCCAGAGCCCTGGCCACTAGAAATGTATTGCAGTCCTGTGGGCAGTAAAGCCCAATCAGAAGGCAGGCGAGACCGTCACGTGGGTGTGAGTGCTCATCAGCTCTTCATCACGAGGACAAAATACCCAGGACACCTGACTTTATGAAAGGATTTACTGGGCTCACAGTTTGGAGGTACAAGCTCAAGACTGGGCGGTCCCACTGGTGTAGCCTCTGTTGCGGATGGCAAATGCTGATTGGTGGTAGAGTGTGTGCAGCCTCATGTAATGAGCCAGGGGCCGGGAGAGTGACTGGGCCCACACCTAGCTTTTGTGACGGCCCTCTGGTGAGACCCACGTTCTGAGTTTCCATCACCTTCCCAATTGTGCTGTCTTGAGAACCATGCCTTCAACACACGGGCCTTTGAGGGAGACCCAGACTAACCCCCAAACCACACCAGCTTGTTCATGGGGTGAGCTTGCTGCCAGAACCAGAAATGTGTTTGCCCACAGCCCGCTGGACATGTGACACACTCTGTGGCATCTGTGCCACGTGGCCTCGTCCAGCCTCACTCAGCCACTCTCTGCTCCTGCAGTGAGGTTGTTAGAAGGCAACAGAAACCAATACAGGACCCAGCTGTTATCCTCAACGCTTAGATGCAGAGTGCCTGTGTTTGCAACCCCATGCTCGTGTACACGGCTGGCAGGCTGGCTCCACGCCTGCCCTCTCACCACCACAGCTGGGCAGACATGCTTGTCAGCCCTTCTTAGAACCCTCAGGTGATAAACTCCCTAGGTACAGAGATTGACACCTGTGTCAAGTTCACTGCTACGCTTGTTCTGCAGGGGTCACTGGGCACCAACTCAGCACAAGACACAGCAGCCCAGGGATGGTGGCGAATTGGCCCCTGCTCATGTGGAGCTGCAGGCTGGGGAATAGGTCAGGTCCCAACATTCTGGCACGGAGAGGTGATGGATATTATCAGTCCAGGTGCAGACAGGATTTGCAGGTTGGGAAGTAAGTCGCAGTGTGAAGACGCGGAGGCCCTGCATCCATGGCACAGCAGAAGGTGGATGGGAACTGGAGCAGTGCTGATGGTGGATCCGTGGGTAGCCCTGGGGGCTGGGGTTTGAGGCTGCACGTATGTGTGTTTCCAAAGGCTGCGCCAAAGTAGGCACCCAGTAAATACGGTTTTTCAAAGATTATTTATTCGCTTACTTGAAAGGCAGAGTGACAGGAAGAGAGAACTTCTGTCTGCTGTTTCATTTCACAAATGGTTGCGTCAGCTGGGGCCAGGCCAGGTCGAAGCCATGAGCCAGAATTCCAGCTGGATCCCCCATATGGATGGCAGGGCCCACGTACTTGGGCCATCATCTTTGCCTCCAGAATGCATTAAATGCAGGAAGCTCCATCAAAAGTGGAGTAGCCAGGATTCAGACGGACAGCCCAGTGTGGAATGTGAACATCCCAAGGTGGTGGCTTAACACACTGTACCACGTACTCACCAAAAAACTTTTTTAAAAAAGATTTATTTATTTATTTGAAAGGCAGAGTTAGGGAGAGGCAGAGATAGAGAAAGGTCTTCCATCTGCTGGTTCACTCCCCAAATGCCTGTAACAGCTGGAGCTGGGCCAAGCCAAGCCAGGAGCCCAGAATTCAGTCTGGGTCTCCCACATGGGTGGCAGGGAACCAACCACTTGAGACACCACCTGCTGCCTCCCAGGGTCTGCATTAACAGAGCCCAGACTTGAACTCGGTCTCTGATTCGGGGTGTGAGCATCCCAAGTGATGTCTTAACTGCTGCACCCAGCACCTGCCCTAACTGGGTCTTGGAAGCAATGATGTTTGGTTCACCATTTGCTTTCCCCTCCGTGGGTAGAAAGGGGAGGAGTAGGAGAGTCCTTCACTAACCTGCGGTTGGTTCTGCCTGCGCTCCCTGGAGGTTGTGGGCTGGAGCTCCCCTCCATCACCTCCTTCTCAAACACAGCTCTGTCCTTGGTGCCTCACACACTTCCTGACCTGTCTGACTCACCACACCTCTCCCAACTCTGTCCAACTCTGCCTTAGAATCTCAAGTCCCGCCCTGCGGAACCCCTGAGCAAAACCTGTCCCCGGCTACCAGCAGTGGCCAGCAGGTGGCGGGCCAGCCCCACAGTCCCTGGGCAGCCTCCCTCCGGTGTGGGAGCTGTCTGCGGAGAGGAAGAAGTTGTGAAGGGGGAGCGGCCAGCTTTGGGAGGATCTTGAGGGGAGGTGATCCCCAGTCTGGGCTGAGACGACCCAGCCCCAGCCCCTTCTTTACCTTTATCAGCCCCGCCCACTGCCATCTTCCTGTTCCTGGGCCAAGGTTGCCTCCAGTTCCTTTGAGGGCAGGCAGGGAAGCTGCAGGCACTCCCTCCCCCTACCTCCTGGGGAGTCCAGCGTCCAGGACTTGACCAGCCTGGGCCCCCAAGGATGACAGCCCCCTGGCCATCTTCTGAGGCGACATGGGAGAGCTGAGGCTGCTTCTGCTGCCCGGTACTTGAACAAGCCTCCCCTTGCTGGGGCGGCCCCGGAGGTTGGCTTGGCTGGAACACAGGTGCTTGGTGGGGGGAGGGGGACAGGGGGCTGGGGGTCAGCCCACCAAAGGCCACGCTCAGCTGTGAATCTAACTGACATAGATGCCGTGCTCAGGGGGGAGGGAGATCAGCCAGTCCCTGGAGTCCCAGGGGCAAAGGAGAAATCGAATCACTGAACTCCAAACTCCGCCCTGCTGCCTCTGTGCCCATTCTGGTGCCTAGAATTTCTCAGCAGCCTAGCTGGTCTCAGACCTCCCATCTTGACCTCGCCTCCTGGCTACCACCTGCTCACCATCCATGAAATGTTTCTCTCTGGTCCCCCCCCCCCCCAACCTCCCTTTTTTTGAGATTTATTTAATTGAAAGGCAGAGTTAGAGAAACAGGTCTTTGATCCACTGGTTCACTCTTCAAATGGCTACAACAAGGGCTGGGCTAGACTGAAGCCAGGGGCCTCCTCCAGGTCTCCCATGTGGGTGCAGGGGCCCTAGGGCTTGGGCCATCCTCTGCTGCTTTCCCATGTGCATTAGCAAGGCACTGGATCAGAAGTAGAGCATATGGGATGCCAACATAGCAGGACCTGGCTTAACCCACTCTGCCACAGCGCTGGCCCCCTCTGCTCCCCTCTGTAACCCTTTGCTGCCTGTGCACCCCTGAAGTTCAAGGTCATAAGCAGGTCTGCCCTCCCTCTACTTGCTGCTTATCCTGCAGAAATAGCAAACAGCTTGAAGTCTTCATATATACCTTTTAACTTGAGCACATTCTGTGCCCTGCTACCTGAAATACCCTTCCTACCTTTATAAAATGTATCTATTTGAAGTAGGAAGGGAGGGAGGGACAGAGGGAAACAAAGTATCTTCCATCCGCTGGTTCACTGGAGAGCAGCCTTTCCTCTGCTGCTTCACCTCCCAAATGCTGGTAACAGCCAGGACTGTGTCAGTCCAAAGCCAGGAACCGGGAACTGCAGCCAGCTCTGTCATGTGGGTGGCAGGAACCCAAGTGGTTGGGCCATCATCTGCTGCTTCCCAGGCACATTAGCAGGAAGCTGTATGTGAAGCCCAGGAGCCAGGACCCAAACCAGGCACGCTGATACAAGAATGCAGGTGTGTCCAACTGTGTCACCACACCTGCCCCACGCCTTCCTGTGCTATTCACTGGACCCGCTTCCATTCGTCCCTCAGAGCTTGCTCGGTCACTGCAGTTTCTGGGAAGCCTTCTCTGGCACGCCCTGTCCTCCTGCTGTAAAGTCAAGTGCAGTCATTGCGCCATTAGCATTGTGGCACCTGTCACACTGCACACAATGGTCTCTTCTGTAGGAACACGGAGGCTCATTCTTTATATCCCTGGTGTTCCACACCTAGCATTCTCTCAGTGTATGTCATCGTCCCCTTTCCCATTCTAGTGGGGATCCCTTTGAATGGATATAATGGGGCCTGAAGTTCATCTTACCTTAGGCGTTAGCCATATAGAAAGTTCAAGGGTACTTCAAAGAGTTCATGAAAAACTGAATTAAAAGATAAGTTTATTTGGATACAGGTATTTTCAAACTCCATCGAGTTGTCTCCTAAAACTCATGGAAAATGTAGGTTATGAAAAATCCACGCATTGACTTCAGGAAAGGTTTTTTTCCTCAATCAAGTGATCTTCTAATTCCATTTCACATAAACTTTTTACAGTACCCTTGTGCAATGGAGGGTTTTGTATTTTTATTCACCTGTATGTTAAATCTTGGCTCTTGATTTCTTTGCTGTAGGGCCAATGTTTGAGACTGTTTATAAAAGAGGCAGGGTTATTATTGTCTGTAAAATGTGCCAGAACCTCAGGTTTGGTTTTCAAAATACAAATTTTAACACGACGCCTCAACCCCCCTCCCCAGGAGAAAAGTCTGTAATGAGAGTAGAGTTGGTCCCCACTCAGTTTCTCCTGCAG